CCGACAACTTGTCAGAAGTGGCCAAACAATGTGCGGCCGTTTCGCCCAAAGGTCTGAAACCACTGGAAGTGTTGGCAGACGTGAGTAAAGACGTCGACTGTAAGCGACTGATTGACAGTACGATCAGTGCATTCAAACGGTTGGATATTTTGGTGAATAACGCGGGCAGAGGTATGAGCTGTCCGATCACTGATACGGCTATTCTCGACAAATATCGGGAAGTGATGGACACAAACCTGCGTTCAGTCATGTATTTAACACATTTATCGGTCAAACACTTGGAGAAAACTAAAGGCAATATAATTAACATGTCGAGTGTTGCGGGACTTAAACCGGTAAATATTTTAATGCCATTGATTTCACATTAATATATTCAAATAGCAAAACAAATTGTCAAAATTATATTTAATCATGGTTCTTTTGTTCCAACAAAAACAGGTGTCCACAGCGTTTCTGTACTGTATGTCAAAGTGTGCGCTCGATATGTTCACCAAGTGTTTAGCCCTAGAATTGGGGCCCAAAGGGATTCGCGTTAATGTTATAAAGTATTTAATCATTTTAATAATGAATTGATTATAATAATTAACTATTATATCCGTTGTGTCAATTGTATAGTGCGGGTGCCGTCAGAACTAATTTTGGTCAGGCAATGGGCTATACCAAAGACGGATCGGAGGGCTATTATAGTAGATTGAGTGCCCAATACCCGGTCGGACGGGTCGGTGAGTCCATAGACATCGCGAACGCCATACTCTTCTTGGCCTCAGACGAGGCCTCGTTTGTGACGGGCGTTAACTTTGTGTCCGACGGCGGGGCTCTTCACGCGCCCTCATAATTGGTTTTGCAATTTATTTATCATACAATAAATCATTGGATTGATTTTATTTTACATTAATGATATATTTGTTTTATGTAATTAAATGCAATACCTATGGAGCGTTTGAATATAATATGATTTAATGAATGTGTTTTATATATTTAAATATATTTTATTAACATGTAATTTTATATATTTACACTTTACTACTGTATACCTATCTCTGCTTTAATAATTAAATACAGACATATTATTTATAAGTTATAAATTATAAGACAAATATAACTTAATTTTTACAATAAAAATGTCTCACTTCTCGTTTATAACAACTAAAACCCTTTAGATTTCGCAGAATTTGGCAAATAATAAAAGTATTTTTTGACAACATTTAAAATTCATTAAAAATAATATACAATACATACTGACTGTACATATCCTGGATATACTGTACATAAAAACACAATAATTTATTTTACCGGATATTTAATTAATGTATTTAAACCCTGGTATTAAATATAAACATTATAAGCTTCTGTTTGGCCCCAATTTGTATCATTCAATCAGTTAATAATTATTATAAACACAGTGTTTGAAAAACATTAACATTTGTGTAAAAATTAAAATTTTTTATTTTGTAATATTAATTGCAGTCAAAGAATATTCTGTTTGTAATTATTCTGTCGGCGAAAATGAATATCCATTTGTTGATTACATGTGTGGCGGCGATAATGATCATCGGCTCGGGTGTCGTGGCATCTGCTAAACGAGGTATTTATCAAATGAGTCGACTATTAACGCAACTTAAGACCTGATTATCATTAACTTGTGGTACAGAATCGGATCCACAGGACGGGCAACGGGTGAGCCCGTCGGGCGCCCTGTATTGCGGCGAATCGGCGTTCAGTTGCCGTCAAAAGTACGGCAAAATAGCCAAATGCAAGAAACTGTTTGACGATTGCATGGAAACAGCAAATCGTGTGTATAATGAGGGGCAGAGCATTGCCGGCCCCGCCATCGTCCGGCCCTCGAGGCTCCGGCCAAAACCTCAAGCGTTAAACGCTTAGTGTCTAATCATTTATCGCTGTTTTGTTGTTTTAATTATTTACATTCATGTTTATCTAAATTGTATTTATTTTTATTATTTATAATAATAATTATATCATTTAATTATACGTTGAATTAAAAACGGACACAAACTTTACAAATAATTTAAAACTACTGCTATTTATATAAAGTATAGGATTAGGAGTAAAGGAAGAAGTGGGGGGCGAAGAGACAGTTATAATTATAATTATCTCATAACTTAATACATTTATTAGTAATTATGCAATCAATCACTTCTTCGTCTTGGCGTCGAGTTTGTCGACCTCTTCCTTGAGGGCCTTCAGCTCTTCGAGCCGTTGTCTCAATTGTCTGGTGTCAGCGCCGAGACGCTCGTGCTCTACGATCGACGACTCAATGAGCGGCACTTCCAGGTGTGGAACCATTTCAAACAAATTGCGTGACATCTTGTCGTCGATGTCGTTCGACTCGCGAAGAATGCCGAAGTAGATCAGGAATATGGACATCGATGTCATCAGTATATGGCGCTGATATGGCGGCACTTCGTCCACCTCTTCGTCCGACCCTAGAGTGCGGTTAAGTAATGCATGAGAAAGAGAGAGAGAGAGAGAGAGAGAGAGAGAGA